ATGCTATGATCTGTAATAGATTATGAAGGAAAAAGACTTAAATTTGAACTTCCGGTCCGAATTTTTTGGAATTTGGGCCATAGCGCTCCGAATTTTAATGCTTATTAAGGAACAAATTTTATAAATTCATTTTCAGCGAATTTATGTTTAATAGATTAACATTGTTTTTCCTATTTTTTTAACCGAAAAAAATTCAGGGGTTATAAGAATCCAGGAGGCCTGTACGATAATTCATCGTTTAAACAGTGTGTAGGTGGGATAACTGGATATATAGATAGAGTTATTTTGACTCCCAAGCACATGTACCAACATCCTACATTTAAAGTAAGCCAGAAATGGGTTTATTAATTTTTTTTACTAAGGAATAATCATTAAATTTAATTGAGTTATAAAATTTGCACACAGCTCTAGTTTGAAAGCATTTTGGGAGTTTGGGTCAGGCCGCGCAAACTTTTAATATAGATTATTCGATATATTTATGACAAATTATGCAAACCGCTATTTTTATTTTAACGCAAGGAATTATATATGACCGATATTCCTTTCGACCCTGAGGGAATACTGGGAACTTTTTCAGCTACAATTTTAGCCTATATTGGAGCACGAGTATGTTTATTTATCAATAAAATATTTATTGCTGTTTCTTAAATAATAATATTTTTTTATAAAGATTTTAATAATAATTTTATATGCATTTTTCAAGCTAAAATGAGTTTGAATAAAAAATGTTTTGCATAATTTTATATACTTTATAGTTTTTCCCAACGAGGGATTTGTGTAGTTACATATTGTTAAAGAAAGTAACCCTATTAACAATGGCATATATATACCACTCAACAGTAAGCGTTAATTTTTTTTTTGGTAACTTTAAACGGCGCTATTTATTGATTTTTTAAGTGTCTTAATTAATTAAAATATTATAACTTAAAATAAATCCTCTTATTTATGAAACTGGAAATTATATTTTACAAGATAACAAAATTTATCTCTGATATACAACTGTTAAAAAAAAAGTGGCAAGACAAACCTAATAAAATATTTAATGTTACATAAATAATAATTTGAATAATATTTTAAAATAAGAAATAAAAGTTAACTTAATAAAATGCTATGATATGAAATAATATAAAGATCCAAATAATGTAAAGTTATATAAAAAAAAACAATATCAAATAAAATGTTGTAAGAAAAATAATAAAATAATGTTACTTATGATTGAATATGTTAATTTACGGTTTTAAACATAATCTAAAAATGCTTATTAAATTTTAATTAAGCTCATATGTTTTAAATTATTAAAATTAACATTAAACCATCTCAACAATTAAATTTTCAGACAACCTGCAGAGGTCAAATTCTTTATACTCCCCTGATTTACAAAAATTCCCCATTAGCTCGAGTAACTAATTTTCGTTTTAGAAATTGGTTTTAAAAGATCAAAAATATCAGAAACGAACGAATGACTAAATGATTTCATCTCATAAATTTTCCAGATAGTGTAAATAATTCAATTTAAAAAAAAAAAAATTCCGCCAGGCCCGAGTTTTACACATTTTTAAAATTTACAAATTTTTCGGTAAGGCTTTTGGTTCTGCAAGTTGGTTCAAAACCTCAGGTCAGGCACAAACTTAAAAAAATTTTTTTAAAAAATAAAAATGCCAGATGATGTTTTCGCTTTTTTTTTTATTCAAATTCTTCTTTGTTAATAGCGGTTTGTCAGGTTAAGCCAGTTTCTATTATCGGCATCGTGATTGGCGTGACCCATTATTCTTAAGTTTTTCTCGAGTATTGTGGTCATAACGTGATTTTGGAACGGTTATTCTTTACGATCGCGTTTGATTCCTGAAATCAAACTTTAGGGTGTCCTAAGACGTCCAGCCCAAACTGGCAATTTAAAATTTTTTGAAAAGATTTTGGCCTAACCCAAATTTTTTAAGTTTATTAAAGAAAATTTAAGACAAGTTGTCTAGTTTAGCCACTAATTTTTTGTACTCATAAATTTGCGTTAATTTTTTAAAAAAATTATTCAATTCCATCCTGGCTTGGCTTGTAAAAATATTTTTCACAAATTGTGTGGGCTGGGTTATCAGATCAGGTTATGCAGTTTAGAATGTAAGCATAGATTATTTTCAAATGATTGTAAGAATTTTTTTGATATAAATTTTTAGGGAAAAATACATTTTATGTGAAACTGCAACAAGATAAATGATTATTTTATAAAGAAAGTTATAAAAATAAGGGAAATTAGTCATTGAGTAAATTACTTCACTATAATATCTCATTTTTGTTACCATGACATTTAAGTTTAGATTAGAAAAATGTATCATATATAAAAACATAATTACTTTAGAAACTAGAGGAAACAGCCCAAACTGGCAAGTTAAAATTTTTTGAAAAGATTTTGGCCTAACCCAAATTTTTTAAGTTTATTAAAGAAAATTTAAGACAAGTTGTCTAGTTTAGCCACTAATTTTTTGTACTCATAAATTTGCGTTAATTTTTTAAAAAATTATTCAATTCCATCCTGGCTTGGCTTGTAAAAATATTTTTCACAAATTGTGTGGGCTGGGTTATCAGATCAGGTTATGCAGTTTAGAATGTAAGCATAGATTATTTTCAAATGATTGTAAGAGCTAAATAATAGAATCCGCCACTTTGAGATAGAAAATATGATTTTGGAGGAGTTTATTTAAATAAAATGATAATTAAAATCCGACTACAAAACAATTCGATATCTTTTATTTAGCTCAATAAAAATGTACTAAATATTTTATAATTTTTTCAATTATGAATTCAGGCCAGACTCGGGCTTGAAAAAGTTTAGTAATAATTAGTAGGCTTTTACTTTGAACCTGCATCTGATTTTTAAACATAATCTTTCCTTAAAACAGCAGTATAAAATGATTTTTTTATTTAACCTGGAAATTGCCATTAAACGTAAAAGAAGAAGATTAATATACGCCTAATTTTTACCTAACGTTAAATTTATTCAGGCTGCCAAAGTATTCGTATTATACAACAAATCCCAAAATTATAACTCGATCATGAAAATATGGGGCTTATCAGCTTGCATAATGGTAATTTTAATTTAAAAGATAAATGATACTTATTTGTAACATTTCATAATTGTCACATAACTCTCTTCTTTAAAGGGGGTTGGGGGGGGGGTGACTAATCCACACTACACTAATAGCCTTTAGCTCCAAAATATTTTATTGTAATATTTTTCGAAAGAAATCAGGTATGATTATGACCGTATCAGGTCAATTCAGCGAAACTTTTATCGCGAAACACTTTTTCGCGAATGTCGTTTATCGCGAAAAGTTTTTATGAGCAAAGGTAAAATCGCAAAACCAATTCTGCGAATTTATCTCCGCGAAACATTTATAGCGAAGACAATTCGCGAAGCCATTGTGGCGAATTTATTTCCGCGAAACCTTAACCGCGAATTTATTAGAGCGAATACATTTTAGCGAAACATTTTACGCGAACACTTTACAGCGAATTTTTTATCGCGAATATGTTTGCGCGAAGTCATTATCGCGAGCGCATTACCGCGAAACAATAAATATATTGCGAATGCATTTATTTAAAAGAAAACAACATATTATTTATTATTTGATGTTTTTTAATAAAAAATGATATGCTACTATTGTAATATTATTTTTGTTACAAATTATTAGTGATTTTCACTCCATATTTCTTGAAGTTCTCATGAAGATCTACCATTGAAAAGTAACAATTGTCATAATCGTTGTTTATAAAGTTTTTTTAATTTTTTTGTTGCAAATGGGTAAAAATAGATTGTAAATATGCTAAATTAAAATTTCATGAAGATCTACCATTGAAAAGTGATAATTGTCATATTCGTTAGTTTCAAAGATTTTTGAATTTTTTTGACCGTACCATTGAAAAGTGACAATTGTCATAATCGTTATTCTTAAAGTATGAATTTTTTTGACCAAAATGGGTTAGAATAAATATTGCTAGCATGTTTAAATAAAACTTCAGTGAAGATGTACCCTAGATAAGTGACAATTATCATAATCATTATTTTTAAACTTTATTAGACGTAAATGGGCCAAAATAAGCATTGATAACTTATTTAAATAAAACTTTAGTGAAGATGTACCCTAGATAAGTGACAATTGTCAAAATCGTTATTTTTAAAGTTTTTTATATTTTTTTAACGCAAATGGGTATAAATATAGATTGTAAACATGTTAGATTAGAATTTCATGAAGATGCACCATAAAAAAGTGACAATTGTCATAATCGTTATTTTATAACTTTTTGAATTTTTTTGACGTAAATGGGCTAAAATAAGAATTGCCAACATGTTTAAATAAAATTTCAGTGAAGATGTACCCTAGATAAGTGACAATTGTCATAATCGTTATTTTTAAACTTTTTTGAGTTTTTTTGACGCAAATGGGTAAAAATATAGATTGTAAACATGTTAAATTAAAATTTCATGAGGATGCACCATATAAAGGTGACAATTGTCATAGTCGTTATTTTTAAAATTATTTGAATTTTTAGACGCAAATGGGCAAAAATATAAGTTGCTTACATGTTTAAATAAAATTTCAGTGAAGATATACCATAGATAAGTTACAATTTATTTTTGTTGCAAATGGGTTAAAATATAGATTGTAAACATGCTAAATTAAAATTTCATGAAAATATACCATTGAAAAGTGTCAATTTTTATAATCGTTAATTTTAAAGTTTTTTGATGTAAATGGGTTAAAATATATAGTGTAATCCATTTTAACCATAATAAAATCTTAACATTAAATTTATATTATATTGATTGTATCATATTACTAAATAATATTCATATGGTTTTTAAGTGCTTTCTATAAAAATCCTACCCTGAATTCAGACTCAGCACTATTTTGCCAGGAGTATACAAAAATATTTGCTAACTGAATGCAAGGTTATACATTTTTATAATGTTGAATTAAAATTTATTGATTCACTAATATTTTCAATTGGCTTGAAAACTCTATCATAAATAAGTAATATTATGTTTATATTTATAATAAAATAAACCTGACTTAATAAAGTTTTTGGCATTATTAGTAATGCTCTTTGAGATTTTATTATGTATGCAATAATCCTTTGCTATATCTTGTAAATTTTTTGCTATTTTATCATATGTATGACTACCAGTCATTCTTTTACAAGCCAACGCTACATTTTTTCTCTCCAAACTTGTTGGGTCTATATAGTGTGCAGTGACTCTTATGTATGAACTAAAAATTAACATTTCTTAAAACTGCTCAAATAATTTGTTTGTAATTAAATTAATATACTACAAATTTAAATGTTAGCTATACAGGCGATAGGCACAACAATCTGCTGTTGTACATATTAACGATGGTTCTATTAGACTTTTAATGTTTTTTTTTCATTTTCCCATCTTTGGGAGATTCTAGCAACCACTGTCTGTCGGCAAATCATATTTTTTTGTAGAGCTAATGTTTTGATCATTTTTATAAATGAAGGATTTTTAACAATTGAAAATGGCTGAGTGCTATCTATAATAAAATCAGTTATTAAATCATCTAAAGTGATTTTGGTTAAAGTTTGAGGTCTTTTGTAAAAAAAATTAATGGGCGATGAGCCTATTCCAATATTTTCTCTTTAATAGGTTTTTTCTCCTTCCCCTTTTTTATTGGATTAAGAGTGTTTGATGTTTTCTCTAAAAATTTAAAATTGTAAATATTTATTTAGTATCTATGCCTTTAAATGTTTTACAATGTTGCAAGTTGACGTCATGCTAACTGAAATTTGCATTTTTTGGTAGACATGGCAAACATTTTACTAACAGAGATTTGTTTTCTTTATTTTGAGATATTATTTTAAAATATGTAAATTGGCCATGGAAGAATGTCGTCATTTTCGTCATCAATATTAATCTTAAAAATTAATGTAATAGAATAAAATAAAATATCAAATCCATCATTGCAGTTAAATGGCAAATTCCTTGAGATGGATTGTAATATCAGAATTTCCTTGTTATTGATAACTCGGACATAATATATAATTAATATTTATATATTCTTTTTTATATATAAGTTTTAATATTTTACATATATATATAATTTTTTAATTTATATATTAATATTAAGTTATATGCTCATATGAAATAAAATAAATTTTACATTCAAGTATTTTTATTTATAATATAAAAAAGCGCTAAATAGAAGTATATCAAAATGTATCTTAAAAAGTATCTAAAGACAGATATAGATACCTCTATAATAATATCCTAGATACAGATACTTTAATCAAAAATCTATCTAGATACTTTAACAACTCTGAGAAATTCACAAAAGAATTCCTCAAAAAAAATTTAAAATTTTTATCAAAATATGTTTAAAAATCTTTTTTGTACTTCAAAAAATATTTTTTGTTAAAATTTTGGGCGTGGGAAAATGACTAATAAATTGAAAAATAATATTACAATAGTAGCATATCATTTTTTTTATTAAAAAAATATCAAATAAAAGAAATCCATTTTTCATTTCATAATATAATAATAATAATTAAAAATATATCATATAATATGTTTATTTGTTGATAAATAAAATATTAACATTAAATATAAATAAAAATAAAAAAAATAATAATAGGCCGCGTTATATTTCGCGAAATAGTTTTCGCTATATTGTCTTCGCGATTTATGTTTCGCGATATTGACATCGCTATAAAATTTTCGCGATTATTGATTCGCTATAAAAATTTCGCACTAATGTATTCGCCTTAAAAGTTTCGCGATGAGAGTTTCTCTATAAAAAATTCGCGATATTGTTTTCGCGGAAAAATATTCGCCAATGTGGATTCGCGATAAAATTTATTCGCGATAAACGACATTCGCGAAACACTTGTTCGCGATAAAAGTTTTCACTGAATTGACATGGAGCCGATTATGACATATTTTACAAGTTATCATATTTTTAACCGATTTAATATATTGTTTACTTCAGTTCAAATAATCTAAATACATCAATTAAATAACATACACAATTAACAATATATTTGGATACAATCAATCATATTATTGATTGCCTTTTGATGTTAATTGATTCTATTACATCTATTCCCTCCTTTTTGGGCTCTCGAATTTAGACGGTATAAATTGTTTTCTTATCCTTCTTGGGATAACGTCTACTTGTATTTTCCTCTACCACGGGTTGATCTATACTGTCGATTTCCATCTTATCATTTATGCTAGTATATTGGTTATTGAGTCTTGAATCGGATCTGTCTTTGGTCATCGAGTCGTGCATAGGATCATTGTCTTTGGAAACTTTCATCCATTCTTGGTGTAGTTTGCATCTTTTCTCCTTCTCTTCCTTCCTCTCTATTTTTTAAATCGGAATCTTCGAACCTATGTTTTAACTGATTAATACGTCTTCTCCATAACCCTAATTTAGTCTCAGCTAAAAACGTCATTGTCCTGTTCTTTTAACGATGATACCTGGTATCCAAATAAATATCCTTTTTGAAATCTTTTGCATATATTTTCTCGTTTATATTAAAAAACCTGGCAACTGGGGTATGTAATTAGGATAAATTGGTTTTATTAATTGTGAGGGTTACGCGTTTTGTTTTGTGGTTATTTGTGGCGTATTTCGATAATTGAACAGAAAATCTTTTATTTTATTATAATCATTATATTTTTTAAAAGAAAATTTTCAAAAGTTTGTACTAACCACTCCGCTTCACCGTTGGATCTAGGGTGGTACGGGGCACTGTATACATTTCTAATTGATAATTGTTTGCAAAATAATACTGAATCCTCTACTTTGAAATGGGGGCCCATTATCCATAACCATCGTATTGGGGTAACCGAGAATAGCAAAAAGTCTTAATATTTATTTTTTTTTAAATTATTTGTCGACAGTTTTTGTATTTCAGTCCATTTACTAAAACTATATTATTACTAGATATATATCTCCGTTGATCGGTCCAGCAAAATCTAAATGAATTCTTCTCTACGGTTTATTTGCGGAGGGCCATTTCCCTATGATCGTTTTACCGCCAGGGTTATTTGTTTGACTTAATTCACAATCCTTACCATGTACTTCGGTGTCGTTAATATTCGGCCACCAAACGTTCTCTTGGGCCAATAATTTTGTTTTAGTATGACCCTGATGCCCCATATTTAAAAAAGACAAAATATTTACTTGTAAATTTTTTGGAATTACGGTTCTTAATCCCCATAATATACACCCTGCCTCCATCGTGAGTTCATTTCGGCGCTGGAAAAACGGTTTTAGATTTTCCTCTATTAAGCTTCGACCACCCGATTGCAATGTAACGCGTGAAACCTTTGATAATACCGGGTCATTTCTTGTGTATGATTTTATATCTAACGCTGAAATAAATTGTGGAACATCCGATACTATTAAATGGTTTACCCTCAATTGGGAAGCTAGACAGCATTACTATTTTTTTTTCGTCCCTCAAAGTTGCAATTCATAATCATAATTTGCTAGTAATAATGACCATCTTATTTATCTTGATGACATATCTGTTATTCTTTTATGAGGATTAAGTAACGTTATAAGTGGTTGATGATTAGAGATTATATTAAAATGTTTATCAATTAAATATTGTTTAAATTTAATTAATCCAAATGTAATTGCTAAAACCTCACGCTTTATCTGACTGTAATTCCGTTCGGCAGTATTTAATGTTCGATACGCGAATCCAATTGGTTTCTCCTCTTTGTTAATGATATGAGATAGAACTGCTCCTATTCCATGTTGGGACATTAGCAGCTAGAATTATCGGTTTTTCCGGATCATAATGATATAAAATTGGTGCTTCTGACATTAATATTTAAAATTTATTAATTACTTTTGTTTCATTATCTGTCCATTTCCATGCCACATTTTTCCTTAAAAGCCTATATAACGGAGCGGCGAAAGTCGAAAAATTGTTTATAAATTTTTGATAACAATTAATTATACCGATAAAAGCTTGTAATTTTTTAACGTTTTTTGGTAACGGTGCGTCTAAAATTGCATTGGCATTCTTATTTGTTTTTGTGATTCCCTCTTCGCTGATGGTATGACCTAAGAATTTAATCTTTTCTTTAAAAAAAATTTATATTCAAAATGGAGACTGCCTATTCTGTGTCAATTAAAAAAATTAATATTATATCTTTTATCTATCAATAATTTCACCTCAAATTTTTTTGGCGACTCCTCTGGAGAATCCCAATCTTCAAATCTTTCTTGCTCCTTTTCTGGGACATCTATCGTTCCAATAAATTCTTTCTTACCACGATTTCTTCTCCATATATTTTGTAGATGTTTTATTCCACAGTTACGATAAATTGTATTTAAATTTGGGCAATTTGGTTTTATATGTTTTTCTAATCTATAACAATAAACGAATAATTTTTCATACTGATTTATTTTTGTCATACGGCTGGCTCCCTTATCACTGTTTTCGCAATTTTACTAATCTTCTTCCCTGCCGATAATTTTTGATACGAAATCATTTCCGTTGTCTATGTTGAGGTAGCGATTTGTACAGCCTTTTCCCATGTCAAGTCTGGCGTGTAATTCCCTACACTAGTTTACCCCCGCCCACTGTATTATACATCTCTTTAAAATCGCATCTTTGCTTTTATCTTTAATTTATTTATATATTCTGTAATCGTTTCTCCCTTTTTCTTGTTCCGTTTTAAAAAAAATAAAATCTCTTTATTTTGGGTTCCATTTTAAAATTTTAGGATGCTTAGTTTTAACGTCGTAACCTTCCCCCATTTGAAGAAAGTTTTAAATTTCACTCTTCCTCGTTTTTTCAAAGTGATTTCAAATGTAAACTGTTATTTTTCTCTTTCTTTTATCTTAAAACTTTGTAAAATTATATAATTTAGGGTTTTATTGGCGGATTATTGTGCAATTTTACCGTGGAAGAAGGTTGGATTCCAATCAACAAAAATTTATGGTACAATAAAAAATAATTCGGCGTATAAATATATTTTTCTTCATTTTCGCTTGGAGATAAGTTATAGTTACAACCCTAGCCATCATATTAGAGACCTGCGAGAGGTCCATTTTTTCGCCACACCCTTAGAAAAATAGCATTTACCCTATCAAAATATCAAATAACCTAAAATTTATGAATTTTTTACGTGTATGTTATGAGAAATTATCTAAAATAAACGAAATAATAAAATACAGATAATATACGAGCAAGCAAACCATTATTTATCGTTCCTAAAATAAATATAATTTTCTCACCCAGTTTTAATTTTTTGATTGGGTCTGGTTTTGCAAACCTTTACTCAAACTAGATGATAATCGGTCAATCCTACGAATACGCCTTTTTCACTCTTTCTTTTTCTTTCTTTCTTTCTTTCTTTCTTTCTTTCTTTCTTTCTTTCTTTCTTTCTTTCTTTCTTTCTTTCTTTCTTTCTTTCTTTCACCTCAGTTGTTTTAATTGACTACGATCTCTATACTATTGAAAGACTCGCTTATTTTTTCTATAATCTATTATTACACAAGTTTTATCGATACATTAAAATATCCATATTATTTTTTAGGTCTTTGTCTTATAACTTTGTCACCGCATCCTTATCTTTTCTACTTATATTGGTTTGCTTTTTCCTAATTCACGTTTTAAAATGGTGGGATGGAACACCGTTTCAATATGTCGGTAAATATTTTTTTACACGGTTATCATATTTATTGTAAAATTTATTCTATAATAATTATCTTTTTAATTTCAAATATTTAATTTTTTTTTAGTCTAGCATTAAATAAGGATCTATTAATAATAGGATAAAAAAAATTAAATTAGGAGAATATTTCATTCGCTTAGGTACAAAAAAAGAAGATTTAACCCTTTAGGTTCCCTCATAAAATTAATATGATGCAACACGATATTTACTAATTTTTTTATTGATTCTAATATAATATAATATAAAACACACAAAAAAAGTTTTTTAAATTCAAAATGGCGGCTCTCCCTGGTGGTTTTAAATTCATATCATTGACACCTTATGGAAACTTTCAAAACAATTTCTATTTTTATTTAGACAGAGTGGTACGTTGCATGATTTGCACGACCACCTTGTTCTTCTGGGATTTAACTTTGTACTACAGAAGGTACACCTTCGTGAGGTTCCTGCCTGAGGTTGATGAGCTGAATTTTTTAGTCTAATTTCTGGAAGGATATAAGGTTTATTATTTTTTCTTTGCATTGATATATAATTATTATCATTATGAATATTATCATCCCTATTAACATTTTTACAGTATGCCAATTCGCTAGCAATTATTTGTCTTCGGAATTCTTTCGATGAGAGTTTATTATCTGTAAGAATATTGTATATTATGAATGAATTGATAATCGCCGCATCTATCAGCCAAAAGAATATTGGTAGCCACCATTTTCGCCACTTTCGCGAAATTTCATATAAAGACTTTAAATGGTCGAAATGGTCAACAGACCCCATATATTTATTATACATCTTTATCATTATTGGACATTTTACGTCAAAAACTTCCCCTTTTTTGTTTTTTCTCTTCACAGTATCCACTGATCTCGGATCAATATAATTGGACATTATAAATACGTCACGATTATCTCGCCATTTAATTATACTTATATTATTTTTGTCACTTCTCCAGTCAAACTCACCTCTTTTTAATTTTGTTTCCATATTCTTTATGGGCAAGTATCTCCTATTTTTGTTTAGTGTTCCGCTAGCATATATACCTTTCTTTTTTAAATCGGCCATTAGAGTATAACTCGTAAAATAATTATCGAAAAATATTTTATGATTTTGAAGTCCTTCACAAAACTTTGTTACAACATTATAACCAAGATTACTTTCAACCTCTTTATTTTTCCCAACATAGATATTAAAATCATTCATATATCCTGAATTATCGCATCTCATCCAAACCTAAAAATATAGTTTAGCCGAAATAAATAATGACAAAATTTACACATTACCTTGAAACCGCGTTTCGTGGGTTTCTTGGGCATGTATTGCCTAAATCCTATACGGCCTTTGAACCTAATCATTCCTTCGTCAATTGCTTGATATTCCGAGGGAAGAAAATATTTCAAGCAAGAGGAACGGATATTATCAATGAATGGTCTTATTTTGTATAATTTATCATAATTTTCATCATTTCTCGATGGTTCTAAGATATTGTCATTTATATGGATGTGGGCCATAAGCCAAATAAAACGTTTTACTTTCATTATGGATGAAACAAAATTGTCATGGAATTCTGGTTTAGAACTCCAATAATCTTTGTAATTTGCCATAGTTTTAATTCCAAAGAGTATATGAAGACATAAAAATTTTCTTATTTCTGTAGGATTAGTTGGTTGATATTTAATATTTTTTTGTTGGGCTTATAAATTGGTATTGAATGTAATTGTATTTATTAGAGAATCATTAATAAATTTCTTATATATATCTGATGGATACAATGGGTCCGTTTTTAAAGATGATATTGGACCTGATATTTTATCAAATTCTAATGCTGGTTGTGAAGAATATTTCTTGGACCAGATAGGATTATTATGGTTTGTAGCAGATTGATCATACGCATCTTGTTCAGAATTGTCATCAATTTCAATTTGATAAGGTGTATCCGATTTATAATCATCACTATCAATTTGGTAACGTGTATCCGATTCATAATCATCTTCGGAATCAGTGGATGAGTTGTCTAACGAAGAACCTTCAGATGGAATGTCCAGATAATCATCCATATATATAACAAGCTAAAATTATTGCGAAATGAGTTGGCAAAATTTATCAATTATTTAAAAAAATAAATATTAAAAATATTGTTGTTAAGTGGCAGTGGTTAGTTTAATATACCACATTAAAAAGATCAAAATAATATATAAATATTATTTATTTGAGCAAAAATAAATATTAGAAAGATAGATAAAATAGTGAGGAATATATATATTTAAAAATATTTGATAAATATACTTACTTATAATTAAAATTGGAATTTTAAGAAAAATCACCGTAAAACACGTATTTTGAAATAAAGGCGCGAAAAAAAAAATTAAAAAATAACTCCTCCACAAACATATGAAAAAAAAAATCTTTTAATATATATTCGTGGTGGTTTCATTTTATATGATCAACTCCTTTAGAAGATATAAAGGTTAAAAGGTGGTTTTATATTTGCACTACCGCGACCGAAAGGGTTAAAAAAAAAACAATTTTTAAGGATAATATATTATTTTATTAATCAGTAATCTTAATAATAGGGCCGCCATTTTTACCCATTTTAGCATAAAGCAACAATGGAAGTAATTTGGACATAAACCATCATTCAGGTGTTCTAAACAAGCGTCTTTTCCAAAGACGCCATTGTTGAAGCAAAATATTGCTATCACAATAATTCGGCCCAATTATTTAATGTTTAAAAATTCTTGGCCCGAATTATTCACTTAGCATCTCTTTATTAATTTTTTTTATCGGATTAAAAATTTTATTACATTTGTTTTTATTTAAATATTTTTCATGTGTTATTTTAATATAAATTTATACACGTAAATTTTTTTAATATATATTTTTTATAATATAAAATGATTTGTTAAGACAAGAATGAATTAATGACGTTGTGTTTAAAGCCCTTTTTTTCTAACCGAATTTGTCCTGGTTTTTTATTCTTTTATTTTTCTTTATAATGCAAGGCCAACGGTATCAGCGTGATCGCTAAAGGGGGACCTCTCCCTTAGAGCGCCCTAAATCAAGTAAATTTGACTTTTTCTAGGGCGTCTGAATGAGCTAAGTCGGCGCCATGATTTGAATATTAGGATGATAATTAATATTGTTTGATTTTTTTAATTTTTAATAAAATTTCATTTTTTATTTAAAATATAAAAGGGTTAAATCCATTGCTCATATATATTGGACACGAAGTTATGAGAGATTATTTCCCGTTCAACTTGCACCTGACGAAGATATTTCATTCACTTCAGAATTCACATTTTTTCTTCTTTTCCCAAGATGTCTGGGCCACCATTTTATGGATTATTATAGGATGGAGACTTTATAAAAAAAGATTATTTATCTCAATTTAAGAAGTTTTAATATATTTAATATTCTTTATACACAAATTATAAGTATTTCAAAAATATTGTTTCGCATATTAATGTAAATGTTAAATTAAAATATTTTATTATAAAATTGTATCGTTATACAAATTTTTTAAATTTATTTTTATATAAATATTATATTATGTTAATTATGAATAGTACGTTATATTTTTTTTGCCAAAATTAGATATTACTTTTTAAACAAATATTAATATAAATGTTAAATTAAAATATTTTATTATAAAATTGTATCGTTATACATATCTTTTAAATTTATTTTTATATAAATATTATATTATGTTAATTATGAATGGTACGTTATATTTTTTTTGCCAAAATTAGATATTACTTTTTAAACAAATATTAATATAAATGTTAAATTAAAATATTTTATTATAAAATTGTATCGTTATACATATTTTTTAAATTTATTTTTATATAAATATTATATTATGTTAATTATGAATAGTACATTATATTTTTTTGCCAAAATTAGATATTACTTTTTAAACAATCATTACTTTTATATCTCATTTTATAGAAATAATTATTAATTGAACTTTATTATGCTCATAATATATAGTTATTCAAATTAAAATATTTTTGAAGATTTTTGTATTAGTCAAAATGAAATATTTTCGAAACAAAACCGCAATTAAAAAAACCAAAAGATGCTTTTACATCAATGCAAAATATCCTTTGGTCTAGCTCTAATCACACTTAATAAATCTGGCTAGCCTTAAAATTAGCCTCAGACTAATTATTCGATTCACATTTTATATACAAATAAACAGCACAATTATTAGAATCGAACACGAATAAAATGGTATATATAATTGATATATCATCTTATTAGAAATATCTTAGACTGGAATGGAAATGATTTATTAAACAATATAAATATAATATTATAAACCTTATAATTTCTCTCTTCTATTTCCATAAACTTCTAAAATATGAATAGAATAAAATATAGTTAATACAATAATGAATAGTTAATGATAAAAAGCTTTAGAGGATAATTAATTTATGATTTTCATTTTAAATAGAAATATATTATTTGCTTTTTTAAATATTATAATTTTAAAAATCTATTTGTTTTAGTTGGATGCTTCATGAAGGATAGGATTGGGATCGACATTCGGATGGACTTTTACCATCTCAATGGTTTTGTATAATATCTGTTGAATTTATTTTTTAAAACAATTCATAATCTAGTTGGGTTTTATTTATTTAACAATACTGTAAAGTTGTTAAAAAGCTCTATTCGGGTCATCATTTTAAGCATAATGATATTATGTAAGCCTTAGGGTTTGCCAAATAGAGATCCAGAAATATCCAAGCTTGCACATTATTTTGGCTAAAATCTTATCGTTTTTAAAAATCGATTTGAATCGGGCTTTTTAACAACCCAATTACGATAACTACAAATCTATTTATGGGGTTCTTATAAAGAAAACATTATGTAATAGCAACAACATCTTATTATTCTTGGTGAAACAATGCAATATTATAATAAGTATATAGACTGGCGATTCATAGATTAAAATGCATTTTTAAGGGTCTTTGAAATGCGAATCAGGTGGCGAAACGTATAAATTAAATTCTTGATTAATTTTTACATAAAATTTTAAAATTGTTTACACGGAAAATCAAAAGTCACGATTTTTATTGAAACACATTAAAATGAATGATTCGGTTGTTTAGGTAGTATTACATGTAGAGCTGCCGATTAACTTATTATTGTTATGTTGCATTTTTTATGTACCGAGATTTGTGCACAAGTTATTTTAATTTTATCTCATATTAAGACGTTTGACGTATTTTTCGTAAATTATATGACTGTTTAAGTAGTGTTGTTAAACGGCTCGATTTAGCCTAAATTAAAAATTTTTTAGCAAAAATAATATTACACTATTTTCGAGATTTCGTTAATGCGCAAATTTTCTACCCATCGTCGTAAGATAAATCTCCAGACATACGTGATATTTTGGGTGTTGGCAGTTTTTAAAAATTTAGCAACACTAGGTAAGAGACGTCAGGTGATTATAATAAAAATGAACCTGTTGTATTATAATTGAAAATATATTTACATATTAACATTTTTTAGTTAAAAAAAGAGACGTTATAACATTCTCAAAGGTCCCCCGGATGTAAGTTTTAAATATTTCGATTTAAGCTGATTTTTAGGCACGACTAACTCATGCCATATATGAGCAAAATCTGGAATAAAATATTGAGTTAGCCATTTTTAAAAATGTGCTCACATCGAGCAGTTTAACAACACCACTCGGGTGTTATTCCCTAAATGTTTAAATTTTCATTTTTTTTAAATAATATTTTGTATAATAATTAAAAAAATATAATTTATTTCTTAATACTAATATTCTATTTACTCTTGTCTACCAAACAGGTCGACGCACCAATTAAAGATATATTATTACCATATTGTGCTTTTAAAAGTTGAGCAGACTTCGTGCCTAAGGCTGCATCACTGTATTCACATTTATATAATATTTTAAAATAGAACTCGATTTTAAAGAAAAGATACTCCTTATCATAATTTTACCTTTACTTAATGGAATAAAAGGATTGAGGCAGAGAATGATTTTAGCATATGGCACAGTAAATTCCAGACGAAAGTCTATCCACCATGAAAGATGATAAAAAATTGTCAAAGACCGCATTACTGTGAAATACACGAAGATGGCATCGGCAATTAAAATGGAAAAATGATCTATATAGCTTTAAAATTTACATTACTCAGATTATGTCTTGGAGTATGAAAAGGAACAGAAAGATTGTGATTATAATCAAAATATGAATTGCGTATATGTTTGACCATTTAAATTGATATTATCGGACGAATATAAAAAGTATCAAATGGTATAAAAAAAATAATTTTTTTTTGTCATTGATGTAGGTATTATTTATTAAAATTATAATAAATTCACTTTTTAGACGTAGGAATTATAGATTATTTGTACAGCAGACAAATTATCCAACATCATCTAAGCGCTCATGGAGATTAGGAAATGTGCCTCCTCATCTTTACCTATTGGATCAGAAAAAAATAGATGTGTTCATTGTTTAACAGTGGAGGATAAACATCGTTCAGATAGGAGATGCATAGTTTGTGACGTGGCGCTGTCTTTTGAAAAAACAAAATTGTGTTAAACCGTAATAAAATAATAAATCTTGTAAAGTATAGCAGGTGTCATACTTTTTGGTAATATCTTTAAAATATTTATATTTTTGAAAAAAAATTTTGATTTTGCAAAATAGGACTTTTTTTGTTAGTAACCTCTTGCATGGAAGGGTTAAAAAAATATATATATTTAGATAAAAATTTTAACATTCTGAAAATCGAGAATTTTTATAAATAAATGATTTAGTTTTATTAATTCGATTTGGCCACATTTATTATTTATACTTTGAAACGAGACTCCTGGATTATTACTATAAATACGGCATACATCAATATTAATTAATAAATCTTTCCAAATTTGTTTATAAATATTTTATAATAGATAAAAGATGGCCTTTATTATTGTCCAAAAAGAGAATCTTTAAACCATACGGAATAGTTTGATTTTTTTTGCAAATCTGGGGTGACCTGTGTAATTGATACCTCTACTAGGTCTCTGATATAGTATAATAATTATTATCTTTTTAATTTCTAATATTTAAATTTTTTTTAGGATATGATTAACCCTTGAGTAATATAAGAAAAAGGAACTCGATTGAATTGGGTATGTCAAACTTAATAACTCACTCAGAATTAAAAAATTTTTTAATCTCTACATTAAGCTTTAATTTTTTTTAAACCAATATAGCGAGTTTGAATAAATAATATTAATTTTAAATTCTGTAAATATTTGTGCAAAGTATCAAAAATAAATCAATTTTATATTTTTACCATAAATATACTTAAAACATGCCATAATTTGATTTTTAACAAAAATTATAGGGACTAAATATCTGTTTTTGCTTCCAACAAGTTTATATCTTAAAAACTATTCAATAAAAAAAGCCTCAAACTATACAGTAACAGTTTATCTTAGCATTGACCATAAAAATTTTAAAAAATTTAAAGACAAGGTTTAAATTTGTATTAAAGAGAATTTCTAAAACAATTTTTAATTACTTAACCATATACTTTTGTTTAGTGTGGCCTATATTCATTTTTGAAAAATCAGCTGTACAATATTTATTTTTAAGACCCAACCCATCATTTAGGTGTATTAAATACGCCTTTTATCTCCTCCAGCTATGCAGTTGTTTTTAATTATATATTATTTTTTAAATATTGAAAAATAGAATTCATAAATCCATCGAATGTTGTTTAAAAAGCTAGTTATTCGAACCGAATTTGTCCTGGGTTTTCTTTAATTCTTCTTTAAAAAGCCGATTTAGACTCAGCGGAAACGCTAAAAGGAGACAGAATTTCCTTTAGAACACCTAAGTCAAATAAGATTGTTCTTTAACATCTGAATTGAATGAGATGCCGGCTCAAACTGATTTGGATATTTAAAGAAAGAATGCCAAAATTTTTTATTGTTATTTTTTTTAAAGGATATAATTTATATGTTTTGATAAAAAAAACCAATTCTATTCAAGAGGATAATTTAAGGTTTAGATCCATTACTCATGTCA